GGATCAGGAACTCATACAAGAATTTCAACGACGTTGGTTTAAAAATAAACAAAAAGGAACATATTCTTGCGAATATAGAGAAAATTTTAGCTTTCACAATTGAAATTCAACAACAACAGAAACAGCAACAGCAACAACATCAACAGCTACTAGAAATACAAAAAACAACAACAGCAGTTGCTGGCAATAATTCTGAAAAAAAAATGACAAATTCTTCAAAATCCCTTACACCAGACGCTATCCAAAACAACATATCAGAATTTATATACAATTCTGATGAGGGGCTCACTTTTTTCCTGTATATTTTTGTAGATATGAACAAATATTCAGTCACGAATGAAGCGTCTGGAAAGATTAGGCAAAAACGAGATTGTTGTTGAAGAAAATAGCTCCGATAGTGTATGGAAAATACTACCATTTACATTTTAGCGAGAAAACCACGTGAAATCTGGTTTGAAGACACGATACACAATCTGATAAAAATCTTTAGTGACAACAACCGTTTCAGGCTCGTTGGAGATGCTTGAATCTAACCCCAAAAAAAGGTCGAAGATTATGTCTCGTATGCTGGTATCGTTAATAAAGAATGTGAAATGTTTAGAATAAAACGAAATGACTCCAGATATGTTCAAATGATTAATTGCTCTAAAAATGTATTACAACTGGTCATTTTTTATAACTATATTACCAGCGTTTTACCATAATGTATTTTTATACTTTCTTAGTGAACCGGCAAGCAAAATTTTCCCATAGCTGGAACCCTAACAGATGCTACCACCTCCTGTTAACGTGGCCTTGGGAACAACAGCAACTAGAAGGTAGTTCCACGCTCCTCCAAACCTTTAATATCTCGATCAGAGGCCTTGCTGCCGCATGTAGTTTATCGTCATACTCAGGACTAATTTTTCTACGAACCGCTGCTTTGTGGAACCGACTCCTAAAAGGAAGCTTGCTAGATCACGACAGTCTTCTTAACCGTTTCATGTCTAGGGTTAACCATTATTTTCCCCACATATTTCTGAATTAGTTTACCCTAAACAAGATGAGAATGCTACTGGGACCATTAGGAGTGAGAGAGAATGAGAAGACTTTATAATAACATGAAAACCCAATCTTTAGCAGCAAACAAGGGATAAAACTCTACTTTTGTTCAAAAGACCTGGGAGAAGTGTGAACCAGACCATAGGCAAACCTATCTACATAACTTATATTAAATATATATATATCAAACAGTGGTACATTGCTACATAAACATTCAGTTATGTGCCATGTGTAATACACGCTTAGGCGATCATGTATCTTTCGATACATGACTGACGAGATTTTTTCCCGCAGTAGGTTGCCATTTCTTTCTGTAGTAAACCAGTTGCCATCTAAGTTTACAGAACCCGATCTGTCCTGCTGTTTACCCATAGCTAGTGGGAGAAGAAGAGGATTCATAGTTTTTCCAAGGGTATTAGTACGTAAGTGAATGTAATGGATTCGACTGGAATTCGAACTCCGCTCACCGATTCCTCAATCCGAGCCGGACCAGTCCTTAAAGAAAAGTATCGCTGAACTATTGTATTATATAGGTTCGCTTCTATATGACAGCGAATGCTGGACAATATCTTCACAAATGAAGAAAAGACTTGAGGCCGTAGAGATGTGGTTCTATAAAAGGATGCTTCGTAAAAAAAAAAGAAAGAAAAGAAAATTTAACATTGAACATATTGAAGTCAAAAAGAACTGAACAAAGCCGCGTGTAAATCTATCAAATAAGCCTGTGTATTGTATTATATCGGTGCTCTTCTATATGACAGTGGATGCTGGACAATATCATCACAAATGAAGAAAAGGCTTGAGGCCGTAGAGATGTGGTTTTATATAAGGGTGTCGCGAGTAATCTATCAAATAAGCCTGTTTAAAGGGTCGAGGACGAGGAGAGATAGTAAAGCGACAAACGTTGCAGAAACCTACGAAGGTCTGTTTGCTGTCAGCTGAAGAGATTCTGTTGGGACCGGATTGTTCTAAGACGTTACGGTTTGCAAACGCAGCCTATGCGCACCTGTAACACTAAAATAACGCTGCATAGGGTGCGCATGCGCATGGGGATTTTCCCTCTCAGTATGGATCCGTCGGGAATGTCTCATCGATTATGAACAAGGCAGGCATTGAGATGTAGTTCTACATAACGATGCTTAGAATCCCACGGAAGAAACATGAAAAGAACGAAGACGATTGAAGGAAAATGGAAACCAAAAGGTTTTATACATAAAAATCAGAAAGCGATAGATTAACCTTCTTGGATACATAATGCGAAACGTAAGCCTGAACTAGCTGTTTACCTCTTGTTTCTTGTTCAGGATTGGGTTTCCGATTCCCTTCAAGGTTTTTTCTTCTTTCACTTCCAATGGTCCCTTGCGTCTTAGTGGCATTATAATTATGTTTGGGGGTGGTGCTTCTTATTCTTTAACTTTCTACCGCGAGTGGCTCTTGAGCCTTGTACAAAGTGAACATCATTTTAAGAAAAAAAGGAAAGAAAATTTGACACTGAACATACTGAAGTCAAGAGGGACTGAATAAATCCGCGTGTAACGTAGCAAATAAGCCTGTGTAGATAGGCTGCACGAGGAGGAGGGTGAAGGGATAGTAAAACGAAAAACATGAAAACTACGAAAGGCAGTTTGCAGTTAGTTGCCGGGATTCCTTTGGGAACGGAGCAGGCTTGTTCTAAGTCTGTGAGGACAAAAACGCAATGTATGGGAACCCGAAATTCCAAAAATGCACTACATATGGTGGCCATGTACATTTTCGATGACCATCTGGGGAATTTCCCACCCAGTATAGAACCGTCGATTCTCATCGATTATGAGGAAATCGGGCATTGCGACTGGAAACCTTAAGCTCCATGTGACTGTAACCCACAAGAGCTTTTTAGACATCCCCGATGCACAGCTCCGCGATGGAAGACAAAACTTATTGCGGAAGGAAGGAAAACCTACTGCTACTGTTATGGCGCCACGGGATATTTGTACAAAATGTGCCCTGTAGAACGATAGGAAGTTGTTGAGAGTCATGATCACCCACGCTGTCAGTTGACATATCACAATAAACTGTGACTCTTACTTTGTAACCCTCTATCTCGAGTGGTTCTTGAACCTTGTACACGCTGAACATCACTGAAAAGAAAAATGAATACTCCCGCCTGGTGACAGACATGGGCAGATAATTTTATTTTTCTCTTCAAGCATCGTCTAATTTAGAGTGTTTGTTTTTAATAAGAGTAAGGGGAGAAAAGTATAGACGAGATAGGATAGTACATTATCTTTTAGGGATGGTTGGTCAAACACATGGTACCTAGTTTGATCCTGTGCTGCTAGAAATGCTTGGCTTTTGTGAGATGAATTATACTCGTGCCGAGTCTGGATTAACAGATTGAAAATGAATTATTAAAAAAAAAAAGTTTCATTGACAAGATCGGTTTGCATCCTCTCTTCTGTCGTAATTCGAGTCGCTTTCCAAGGCATGCAGCAATAAACGACATCATCCGAAGAGGTCTGGATGCAGTTGGGTTCCTTTCCCAAATCGAACCCATAGGCCTCGACAATGGTGACGGAAAGTGGCCGGATCCTTTCTCCTGTCGTCATAGTGCGGGCCGCTTTCCAAGGCATGCAGCAATAAACGACATCATCCGAAGAGGTCTGGATGCAGTTGGGTTCCTTTCCCAAATCGAACCCATACGCCTCGACAATGGTGACGGAAAGTGGCTGGATCCTTTCTCCTGTCGTCATAGTGCGGGCCGCTTTCCAAGGCATGCAGCAATAAATGACATCATCAGGAAACGTCTGGCTGCAGCTGGGTTCCCTTTCCAAATCGAACACGTAGGCCTCGACCGTGGTGATGGAAAGTGGCCGCATGGTATGACCATTTTCTCTTTTAAAGTGGGGAAGCCGTTGATTTGGGATGTGTCTTGTTCGGATACATTTTCGATCGGTAATTTGATCAGGTCCGCGGTTGAGCCGGTGTCCGTCGCCCGGGACGCAGAGATAAAACAAAAAAAATAGTTAAATATTCTTTTCTTGCGGATAGATTATTTTTACTCCCGTGACAGTGGAGAATTCAGGGGTTACTGACCCTCGTTCAATGACGTTTCTTCGGAGGATTAGTGGGATGGCGTCTCGATTAAGGGAAGAACCTCGAGAAACGTAGTGGCTCTTGCAGCGTGTCTCACTGGAGATGGTTCGAGGTAATGCTTTCTCCATCATTGCGGCGGGCAGACGATAGCAAAAATTGTTTATTGTTACGTTGTTCTGGAATTGTCATCAGTGGTCAACTGTAATTGTTTTGTTTCAATAAATTTTAATATATTTTAATATTTTTCAATATATTTTAATATATTTTAATATATATCTTATAAAGAAAGAACAAATAATTCCTTTCAAATGTTTTATTTTATCGAATTATTGGCCACGCGTAACGTCACCACGTATTATGACGTCACTAATTAGAGTTATCTCCCTTGCGATTTTAAAGCAACATGATAGTGTCACCATCTTCTACAAGAGCGTGGTGTCATTTAGTCACTGAGATCAGTTGATATCTCGGCAGCATTAAATGAACAACTGCCTTATTCAATCCGACACCATTTTCTGGGAAACAATGTTTAAGTCTAGCTTAGAGCTTTTCAACAGAGCATAAACAAACCCCGGAATCTCTTTAGACAGGCCTTCTCCTTTCATCTTCCTATCGAACTGATTCCAACAAGATATTTCTGAATATTTTCTAATTGGAAGCGAAAAGTAAAGAAAAAAAAAACGAAAAAATAATTTTTAACAAAAGAAAAATAAAGATAACCCGTCGATATTTTAAAATATGCCGTCGAATTTTAAAAACGAAATCGTCTGACACTGCTTCGAAAGATTCAAACAATACTTACTCTCCGTGTCCTGCTTATCGAAATATTCTTTATCATCAAGCATATCGAATCTTAATTTTCTTTTTATGAGAATTTATAGAATATGTCTCGGAAAGTTACCCCATCCTACCTCCGAAATATCCGAAATCTCTCCAAGGGGGAGACGATGGAGTTTTTCCGCCAATACATCAACCCGAGTCTCAAGTCAATCGAGGACCTCTGTACTGGGGTTGATTTCTGTTTGGCTATGAACCAACTGTTTCCAAATTCATATGATGTCCAAAAACTGAAACGAGGCGATAATCTGAGCGAGCGAGATAAACGGAGCAACTTCCATTTGCTAAAAGAGGCATTCAAGGCATCTGGAATCAAGAAGAATTTTCCAGCTGAAGACATGATGCAAAGAAATTTCCAATCCAACTTCTATTTTGCCCAGTGGTTTGTGCGTTTTTTCGACGCTCACCGACCCCGAAACGAGGAAGAATCTACCGACGAGGTCATCTGCGACAGCCCGAAAACGGAAACGCTTTACACGGGGCAGAGCAGCGTACACGGGGGAGCTCGACTCATATCGCAGATCGCAAACGCCAAAACACCGGAAGGGACAAAAAGAAACGACACCATCCTCTCTCAGCTCGGGAACGGGTTCGGGTCCGCTTACAAACCCCGGCCGCTATCTGCTGTGAAAAGCTCCGGTTATGGCAAGTTAAGTTGCCGACCTTTGAAGATACCCCGGAGGCCCACAGCGGAGTATAGGGAGAACTCATCCCAAACAGACGAAATTCCATTTATCGATGCCAAAATCGAATGCATGAATCAAGTTCGGGAAGAAATGGAACAGTTACGGTTAGAACTGTCGAAGGCCGTCCGTACACTCCAGGAAGAAAACCAGAAACTTCTAGACAGTCTGGATCATTCCAATTTGAAAAAGTCATATTTTTATAAAAAGCTTGATCAGATCGAGAATTTATGTCTCGATTGCCCACCGGAGTCATTGAGGGCATCTCTAAAGAAGATTTTATACGAGGAAGGTCTTCCAATGTAAAAAGGAAAAAAAAAAAAAAGAAAAAAACACACTTCGAAATTAACTCTTCAAGGAAAAATATATTCTCCAAACATATCTTTATGACGTAAACGGTCAAATATATCTATCTTTGTTGTCTTTTTGAGTGTTTTTTTTTTTTTTAATGTTATTTTAAATTATTTCACCTCGACCATATGAATGCAGTAAAAGCTACTGGGATGCAATGGGTTACTGAGAGGGGAAGAAACAGAGAAACCAATAAAAGAACAGGAAGCAGACGACTGACATTTTATTTAAATTCTTGAAGATCGTAGGTAACAGGAAAACGAGTAATGTTTGTTCAATGCGTTGACCTAGACAATTTTTCGCGCCAAAATCTATCTTACATATTTATAAAACTAACATTCGTTCTTGCTTTTAATATTGTTGTCACGTTGGTGCTCATGTTATACATTTAGAGATTCTGGATAAAATCCAAAAAAAAAAAACTGCAGTGCTATTGGTACTGCCCTGTCACCTCGACTTCAGTCACTTTCCCACCGACGTAGCGTAGCTTCCCCGTGTCTTTGATATATATATATTTTCATGGTAATTATTCTGTTGAGATTTCCTCATTGGTACCTCGACTTTACAAATTTAAATGCAGTAATAGATTACCAGCTAAGTCTCGCCATTTTACAGTTGAAATCGCTAAAGGTAACTACAAGTTCTTGGTTAAGAGTTTCTTCTCTCACACTCCTCACTTGTAAAACTGTTTTTGCTTCCCAGTCATCTTTGATCTTCCAAAATTTATATGCAATGTCAATTGTTATCATGTCTCCTCAATTTTTCTTCTTTTATTATCTCTCTCTCTCTCTCTCTCTCTCTCTCTCTCTCTTCATTGTTTTTTTTTCTCAGACTCTTTCAATTTCTGATATTACCCCATGCATTTAAGTGACTTTATCACCTTGCTTTCAGTAAAATGATAGAGAGAAAAGAAAAAATTTAATACAGTATTACTACCAGGGTGTATAAATTAACAAAGGTAAATGTATTCAAGTTTTACTAATTAACCTATAGAAGAGGTAGACTCATACTTTTCCCAAGGGTCTTTGCACATAAGTGTATATAACAGATATAACTAGAATTAGAACTTGGCTCTGATTAACAATTCTGAGCCATTATACCACCTGCACCTCCAAGATTATTGCACCTGGTATTCTCAATTGGTTACCCATTTAGGTACAGATCAGGCTTAGATGTTGCTTAACTTCAGTGTTTCAATGTAATGTGGCCATAAGAAAACATTAAAGATTATAATAAAGTAGTTAATGGAAAAAAATGTCTGAGTTAAATTACTTTGTCGAAAGTTTCTAAGGATTAAGAAGTCTTATAGAATTCTATGTCAATTCACATTACAATTCAATATTTCCTAAAATGTTGTGAATTTTAGTTAAATTCATATTTGAGATAATTTTCATGGTAATTGTTCTGTTGAGCTTTCCTCTTTGGTACCTCGACTTTACAAATTTAAGTGCAGTAATAGATTGGCAGCTAAGTCTCACCATTTTACAGTTGAAATTGCTAAATATAACTTAACTACAAGTTCTTGGTTAACAGTTTCTTCTCTCGCACTCCTCACTTGTAAAACTCTTTTCCAGTTTCTTGAATCCCAGTCAACTTTGATCTTCCAAAATTTATATGCAATGTCAATTGTTATTTTCTGTCTCCTCAATTTCTCCTTTTTTATTATTCTCTCTCTTCTCATTTATTTTTTCTCAGACTTTCAATTTCTGATATTACCCCATGCATTTAAGGGACTTTATCCCCTTGCTTGCAGTAAAATGATAGAGAGAGAAAAAAAATTAATAAAGTATTACTCCCAGGGTGTATAAATTAACAAAGGTAAAAGTATACAAGTTAAACTGATGTCTAAGATTTTATGCAACAGTTGCTACTAAACTTTAAGCAGAGTACACAAACTACATACAGATTAGTACTGCTTGAGTATTTGGTACCTAGAATTGTATGAGGTTACTAATCAAAATCTTCCCTCGCACTCCCCACTTGTAAAACTCTTTTCCAGTTTCTTGCTTTCCAGTCAACTTTGATCTTCCAAAATTTATATGCATTTTTTAAATCCTTCTTATTCTTAGTTATTACATTTGGTAACACCAAAAGAAATGTATGCAAAATCCACAAAACTGTAAAAGAACGTACAAGCGACAAAGTGCATCATGATATCTATAAAGAACGTGACTATTGAATTTGAAATTTAAATAAAATCAGTATAAAAATAAGAAAGACTTTTTTAAAAGTTAAAAATCTAATCAGTACTAAAGAGTTGATTTTTTTTTTGCATCAGAAGCTAAGAGCCAAACCAATAGAATGTTAACCATGACCCCCCCCCCCCCACAAAAATGCATTTACAAAACGTCCCGGAATTTGTAAAAATAGAACAAAACCTTAAAAGGGATTCATTCAATTCACTTGTATGCTAAGTGATTAAAATGTTAACACCATTTAAAAAAAATATGAATATAATTTATACAGATGATTGAAAGCGTTTTTTTTAATCATTTTAGCCCAAGCAAGGCAATAAAGTCACTATGATGGAAGTGGTTACTCATTGTTATAGAATATGAGAAAAATGACTATTAGGGAGTTCAGACAGTAAAAGAACCAGAATTAAGGAGAGAAAAGATAACAATTAACATTGCATTTAAATTTTTGAAGATCCAAGTGGACTGGCAAGCAAGTAACAGGAAGAGAGTTCCACAAGCAAGAAATGCGATAGAAGAAACTACTAGGATAGAACTTAGGTTTACATCTAACCATTTCAACTGTAAAATGATGAGATCTTGCCATCAATCTAGTACTGTACATAATGGTATTCATAAAGTCTTGGTACCATAGTGGAAATTTGTAAAAATAGTACAAAACTATAAAAGGGATTCATTAAATTCACTTGTATGGTAAGTGATCACAATGTTAACCTGAACGATAGCATATCAAGCTGGCCATAGGTAGCTAGATAGATAAACTGATTGATTGATAGATATCTGCTGATACAGACATGAAGGGAGGGGATAGATATATTTAAATATAAGATTGACAGATTGATATATCATAATAGATTAAAAAAAAAGCTCCACACACACACACAGACAGAGAGAGAGAGAGATTGTGTAGCTCTATGCTTGTTTAATTTATGTACAAATCTAGCACTTTTTTTCAAGGCAATAAATTCAGTAAGATGCAATGGGTTACTGAGTATTAGAGGATTTGAGAAAAAAATCTACTCTTAAGGAGAGAGGAGAATAAAAGAACAGGAATTAAGAAGACAGAAGGTAATGACTTACATTGTAATTAAGTTTTTGAAGATCAAAGTTCACTGGGAAGCCGGGAAAGAATGCCAGAAGCGAGTAGTATTAGAGAAGAAACTGTTAGCATGGAAACTACGTTTACATCGAGCCACTCAATTGTAATATAATGAGACCTTACCGCCAATCTAGTACTGCTCTCAAATTCATAAAATCTAGGTACGTTAGCAGAAAGTAATATTTATTTTGAAAATACAAAAATTTGGCACAAAGCCAAAAGAGGGGATAGAGGATGGTTGATTTTAATCTGTCTTATTTTAAACTTAGCTAGCCACAATTACTGACCCAAAAATAACACAGTATTCCTTACACCAAAACAACAGTCTTACTTATCATTCTTACTACAATCACCAGAATACCTCAAGTCTCTATGTAACCCTAACTAGTTCGTATATGTATAATTTGTCTTGGGGATAGAAATAAAAACATTTAAACATGAAACTCCAATGAATATGCTTTTCCGTACCAAACAGGAAAATAATATTTATTTTGTTATAATACAAAAATGTGGCACAGGCCTAAAGGGAGGATATAGTAAGGCTGGACTTCAACTTGTCTTATTTTAAACTCAGCTAGCCATGATTACTGACCCAAACACCGTATTCCTTACACCAAAACAACGCATTCTTAGTTATCGTTCTTACTACAGCCGCCATAATACCTCAGAGTCTCTCTGTATTCCTAACTAGTTTCCAGATGTATACTTTGTCTGTGAGGGGTGGGGATTAAAAATATCAACTTTAAAAAAAAAGAAACACAGTAAATATTTGCCATAGCGGAAAGTTCATTAAAACAATTACCATGAAAGTATTTATAGAAAAGGCACAGGGAAGCTACGTTACGGCGGTGGGAGAGTGACGGAAGCTGAGATGCCAGGCTAGGACTAATAACAATGCAGATTCTTCTTTGGATTTTACTAAGAATCTCTAAATATATAGCAAGAGCATCAGACCAGATGTAACAGCAGCATTCAAAAATGGACGAATGGTTGACTTGGAAAATTCATAAGGTAGATTCTGGTGATAAAAAATGTCTAGCACGCTTCAGTTGACTAAACAATTAATTCAATATAATTACTAGCGGAAAACAATTATGTAATTGTTTTTCTTGTCTATTTTTGCTAATTTAATAAATTATTATGCATGTATATTTTTAATGGAAACACAAGGAAATGGGGAATTTCTGTGTAGTTGAATCTTCCGAACATTGCATTGCATCTAATATAATCGACTAATGTAGAAAAACAGATTTTCTTCTTCTTCTTCTTCTTCTTCTTCTTCTTCTTCTTCTTCTTCTTCTTCTTCTTCGTTTCTGTTATTCTGCAGCTCTTTGTTTTTTAGGGAAGATCATTAACAATTGATACATATTGATTGTTCGAGTCGATTGTTCTCAGTTAATTACCGCTTTTTGCTTAAAGTTGTTTTAATGACTAAGACAATATAGGGTCATAGAATTTACCATTGTGATTTGACATCCGTCGACCGTAGTCAGGTCAGTGTGCGGATTCAGGTAATGGGGACATGGGTTTCTCGGAAAATGACATTTGTCTTTCGAAAATACAGTCTCTGTTTTTTGTGACCCGTTCCGTGTCCGAAATAGCTACGGAAAGAAAGAAGGAAGGGTCATACGGAAGTACAGAAGAATGGTAAAATATAAGGTGGAGAGAAAAAAACAGAAAGAGAGGAAAAAAAGAAAAATTAGAAAGAAAAGAAATTGAAAGAAAGAAAGAAAGAAAGAAAGAAAGAGAAAGAAAGAAAGAGAAAGAAAGAAAGAAAGAAAGAAAAGAAGGAAGGAAGGAAGGAAGGAAGGAAGGAAGGAAGGAAGAAATTAAAAATCTAAAAAGATAAAGATAGTAAAAAGAAAAATAAGAAAGAAAAGAAAAGACAAAGAAAGAAGGAAGGAAGGAAGGAAGGAAGGAAAAGTATATAGATAGTAAAAATTTATAAAGATAAAGATAATGAAAAAGAAAAATTAGAAAAAGAGAAACTCGAAGACAAAGAAAGAAAGAAAGATAAAAAGAAAGAAGGAAAGAAAGAAGGAAAGAAAGGAAGGAAGGAAGGAAGGAAGGAAGGAAGGAAGGAAGGAAGGAAGTAAGGACGAAAAAAGTAATATAGATAGTAAATACCTATAAAGATAAAGAAACAAAAAAAGAAAAGTTAGAAAGAAAAGAAATTAAAAGACAAAGAATGAAAGAAAGAAAGAAAGAAAGAAAGAAAAAAAGAAAAGAAAAGAAAAGAAAGTAAGAAAGAAAGGTAATGGGTGTACAGAAGATGTGTAGAAAGGAAAGAAGAAAGAGACTTAAGAGAAAATCGAAAGAAAGAAAGCTAAATGGGGAAATAAAAATGGTAGAAAGAAAGAAAGAGAAAAATAAGAAAGAAGAAAGATGGGAGATATAAAAAGATCGAAAGAAAAAATAGAAAAACAGAGAAATAAATGAGAAATGCACAAAAAAGAAAGATTAGTGAAAGAAACTCAAGAAAAAAAATGAGAGCAAAAAAAAAGTTCAACAAACGACAGAAAAAGACAAAGAATAGAATAAATGTAATATAACATATATTACGGCCATATCACGTTAAAACATTGGTTCCCGTATGATCACCGAAGTTAATCAGTGTCGAACGTGTTCAGTACCTACATAGGCGACCGCTTGGGAATATCAAGTACAGTAAGTATGTCAAGTATGTAAGTATGTGCGTGTGATAGAATGAATAATGACTCAGAATTCTTAATCGGAGGGCCAAGTTCCAATTCCAATTGGGTTCGTTATATTTCCTTTACGCGCAAATACCCTGATCTCTCCCAGCTATGTGTTTATTAGTAAAACGTGTATCACTAAACCATTATTATCTTTTAAAAAACTTACAGTCTAAACAGAAAATGTTTTCTATCTTTAAATAACAAGCAAAGGGTTTGAAAAGCCGTGAAAAACAGATCAAACGAATCGTAATATAGTATAACTGGCCACTCGTATTCGAGGATACCTGTCTACTAGGGTGGTTAGTCAATCCCTATTGCAGACATTTGCTCAGGCGCATTTGTGTTTATTTAACACCCACAAAGACCATCTGTGGTTTTTACTGCAACTATGCTGAGCAGACCTTAGTTACAATTATCTAGCGTCATCAACAATTTAAACAAAGCCAGTACGGTCAAACCCTCGGTCACGATGAATTGTGACTTCGTGCTAGCACAGCTATCGACGGCCTCCAAGGGTCCCGTCTACTCAGTTTCACTCACAAGGCTTGGGTCAACCCGTGGTATGGTTTTCAGGTACTTTCCAAAGGTGCCTCACGCTGGCATCAGTACGATAACATCAGTAAGTCTCCTTCCTGACAAATCGACCATAGTGAGATTCGAACCCGGGTCTCATGGTCAGAATGCGAAAGTTCTAACCACGGTGCCCCTAAATGAATTATAGTTGAAAAATAGAAAAATGCGAATGAAATAAAGAGAAAGAAAGAAATGAAAAAAGAAAGAGATCGATCGAACGAAAGAAAGAGTGGAAGGCCTTACTTAAATAGACTGGTTTACTTATCAAAATTACGGAAAAAAAAAGTCGTTCAATAATTTTTGTTGATTAGCGTTCCTTAGAACTTCCGTGGGTCACATCGAAAATAATATTGATTTTGTTATCGAATTAAAAGGGATGATAGTCCTGTCCTAATAGTACAGTGTAACCCGGATATAAGAGAGTTGTCGGGACCGGAGAAGATGTCTCTCATATTCGGGTTTCTCTTATATCCGGGTTTGGTCTATTTTATATACATTAACGCAGGCTCTAATTTGGGACCAGAGAAAATCTCTCTCATATTCGGGTTTCTCTTATATCCGGGTTTGGTCTATTTTATATACATTAACGCAGGCTCTAATTTGGGACCAGAGAAAATCTCTCTTATATCCGGGTTTCTCTTATATCCGGGTTTGGTCTATTTTATATACATTAACGCAGGCTCTAATTTGGGACCTTAGAAAATATCTCTTATATCCGGGTTTCTCTTATATCCGGGTCTCTTATATCCGGGTTACACTGTAGAAGGATTTTATGAATTTCCTCCGACTTAGGTTACATATTCTATGTAAACAGAAAGTTATATCCGGGTTACACTGTATCGACACATTGAAAATCGATCCCTGATTTTTTACAGAATTATCTGAAGGCAGAAGTTATTTACAAATATTAATTTTGAATCTTTGCTTACATCTTTGATCTGAGCGCATTTGTTTTCGTTTTTTTTTTTTTTTTTTTTTTTTTTTTTTTTTACTTTGTCGAATTTTTAAAAACTTTTCTTTCGGGATAATTTTTCGGAAGTACAAACACATTAGGGGATAAATATTATTTATCTTAAATGAAGAAAAACGGATGTATACTTTTATGAATTCATGTAAGTTTTTTGTTCGTTAATTAAAAATGCATGTCATTTTGTACGTTATTTAATACATCTATTTTTAAAATAAGTTTGCTTTCCTACGCAGAACTGCTAGGTATCCCTGTAAGAAGTTAAGGATCGATTTTACACTGACACCCCCCCCACTTCTAAGATGATGAATCACTGTGGAAGAGAATTTTAGTTGAGTTAGGTTTGACACTTTTGACTAACTTTTGACTTCTGAATCCAAAAATGACGCCGCTTCTTCTGTGTCACGTAGGTTTGCATGCTACAGGATACTCTCGCTTTGTATAAAGAAACATAAAATACCATTTCTAGTACAGTATTTACATTAGTTGGACTATTGTCCTCATCTTTGTCGCCATATTTGTCACAACGTTTCGGCCGTTGTACGCTCCGGCCTTCTTCAGGTGGTTGGAATTTCGAACTGAACCCTTTATTTCGATCACTGGGGTAGACTGTTCTAGTTCCACGTGCCATGTTTGATGGATGTCAGTTATCAGTTATCTCCTGCTAATTTTCCCTCTGAAAGTTCTCCACTGCTTTAACCAGGTATTGAACTTTCTTTTGGGAAAATTCTTTGAGATAACTGATAACTGATCTAACCTCAAGGAACATGGCACAGTGGATAAAGGCGTTAGTGTTCGAAATAAAGGGTTCAGTTCGAAAATTCCAACCACCTAAAGAAGGCGGAACGTACAACGGCCGAAACGTTGTGTTCAAATATGGCGACAAAGTTGAGGACAATAGTCCGACTAATGTAAATACTGTACATAATACCTCATCTTAGAAATATAGACAGATTCTCATTTCTAGTATATTTGGTCTCATTTTATTGTATGGTTTAAAATTTACATATTATGGAAAATAATAAAGCATTGCTTGACTGTAATATTTGTACAAATATATTTTGTTCATACAAAGGATATTATTACTGTGAGTCAAATTGTGTGTAATGAATAAAGGTAAAAATTTCCGCCTATAGCTTTTCCTGGAGTGTACAGTTTGTGGACAATCTCGCTTTATGCTCTAACAATAGTCAGCTATCATATTTACATTTCATCTACCCTGATACCTTTCTTCCATGACCTTCAAATCATGGTGGAATCGTTCATCTTGCTTATCGCTGATTTCACCAAGGTTTTTCGGGAAGTTAGGAAGATGGCTGTGCAGAAAATGTTACTTGATGATCATGTTGCATCCGATGAGTAGTTTCTGGACAATTCCGGTGCTATTCTCTGCTCGTTTATATCCAAGAAAGTTCTTGACAAGGTCATTGAATGATGACCAAGCATTCTTTTCAAGTTCTGATATTGTTCAGATAGAATGATTATCGTAACACCTTGATCCACCTTGATTTTTTTCTCAATTGATAGGCCAGGAAATGCCAAAATGAGGGACTTGAATTAGTCCTCTTCGTTTTCAATACTTTAACTAATTGCTTCATTAAACCCAGTTTAATGTGCAGAAATAGGAATACAATTTTCTTTCTGTAAACGAATGGCTTATGTAGAATGTTGGGATCGCCAGGTTTGAGGTGAGGTCTTGGAGGCCAATTCATCTCCACCCAATGTTTCTCTCTAGCTCTGCTCTCCCACATACACAGAAAGCAGGGATACTTGGTGTAACCACGTTGCTGACTAAGAAGGAAGCATACTATTTTAAGTTCAACACAGATGATCCAATTGTGTTTGGGATATTGCAACAACTCAATGACTCTCTTTATAAATCAGCCATTCGCCCTTGCATGGAGTATTGCTGCCATATATGGTCTAGGGAACCTTCTGTTTACCTCTGAGTTCTTGACAAGATCCAGAGACGGATATGCAATATAATTGGCCCTGATCTGGCATCTCGTCTACAGTCTCTCTCTCACAGACGCGCCGTCGCCTCTCACTGTCTTTTCTACAAATACTTTCATGGTAATTGCTCCGCCTAGCTGCTTTCACTGGTTCCCAGACTTCATGAATTCAAGCGTCCTACGAGGCTGGCATCCCGCTCTCACCCCTTCACTCTCGAAACTCCTAAATGTAGCCGTCTCTTCTACTTCAATAGCTTCATATCTCGCACCTCTCGTCTGTGGAACACCCTTCCCTATTACTGTTTCCCTGAGAGCTATAATCTCCAACTATTCAAATGTAATGTCAATCGACATCTCCAGTTACCTTGATCTACCCACTATCCTTCTCCTCATCCTTTCTTCTATCACTCTTATCTGCTCTCGCTCCAAATCTTCTGCAACCCCTCTGCATCCTAGTGGCTTCACGCCTTGCTCGAGGCGTAATGCTTAAAAAAAATGTCTCCATGTTCTTCATGAAGACAAACTGAATGGTCAATTTGGACAGCACCATATAAATTGCCATTGTGAAGAAGGACACACTTTAATCCACGCTTTAAGCTGTTGATGACTAGTCGCCATTTATTTGTGTTGTACATCAGAATTCTGAATTTCTGCAGTAAACTCTGTATGCTATAGCAATAAACAAAGCTACTGTCACTTCAATAATACTGCGGAAATGAACTTTACCTAGATCGAAAGTAGGATACCTTTGCTCCTTTTTCAAGCAAGTTTTTCTCATTCAGTCTTCATGCTAGGAATTCTGAAGCTTTTTGACAGTCCCAGATCCCGTGCCAAATCATTCAACTCATTCCGATCGAATCCCTTACGAGCTGAGTCATCTTCAATTTTAATATCTGCATCATGTTTGTCACTGTGTTCTTCACCAGGGTCCAGATCATCCAGAGAGGGTAGTTGAACCAAAACTGGTACTGGGATTTCTCGCCAAATCATAGGTAGACCAAATGCCAATTTATCACGTGTTCCCTTGGTCCACATTCGACACACTGCTTGCACACCTTGCGAGGGGCCCTAGACCTGACATGATCACCAAGCTTTACTTTAAAATACGCAAAATAGGCTTGCTTGACAAATGTGCTGATGACTGCCCTTTGACTGGGAATAGTGAAACTGCCACAGATATAACGAAAGGAATCAGGACTGTTTAGGAATTTGTGACGAGAAGTTGCTGAGGCTGAATGATCATTTTTTGTTGAATTTTAATTCTTATATTAAGGATTGATTCCATTCCCTGAGAGCTCCACGACTAAAACACCGTTATTGACAAGTAAAATATTTGAATTTAACAACATTTATTACAAAAATAATAATAATAATAATAATAATAATAATAAATATGGATGCAGGTCATTATTTAAAGAAATAAAAGGGTGCAAATGAAATAATCCAAAATAGACATAGTTTTACATTTCATTGAAGCAGACGTTAAAGGCATGAGAGCGTTATTGCTTGCTCTATATTCGGTTTCTTTCCTTCTTTCTTTCTTTCCATCTTTCTTTCTTTCTTTGCTTACGACGACATTACGTTAAAACACCGATTTCTGTACGATCACCGAATTTAAGCAATGTCAAGCCTGGTCACTACAAAGTTGGATGACCAGTTGGGAACATAAGTTGCTGTAAGTTTGGATGTGCGGGTGGTGTAATGGACAATGGCTCGGTATTATTAATTGGAGAGCCTAGTTCCAATCCCAGTTGCGTTCTTTATATTCACTTACGCGCAAATGCACTAGGGAAATGTATGAATCCACTTCCCCCCCAGCTATGGGTCAAATATTTAGTAATACGTGTGTGACTGAAACAGCTAAAACAAAATATTTAAACCTATTTTCTGGCTTTAAATAACCTGTAAAAAATGATAAGCCGTACAAAACGAATCAATCAATCAATACTCTTTCTTTCTTTCTTTCTTTCTTTCTTTTGCCTTTCTTTCTTTCTTTATTTATTTAGTCCCTCTTTCTTCACGTTCTTCTTTCTTGCTCCATTTCTTTATTTACGTTCTTTCTTTCTTTTCTTTACGTTCCTCTTTGTTCCGGTTCCTTTTACGTCCCTCTTTGTTTACGTTCTTCTTTCTTTCTTTCTCTCTTTCTTTCTTTCTTTCTCTCTTTCTTTCTTTCTTTTCTTTCCTTCTTTCTTTCTTTTCTTTGTTTCCGTTTCTTTCTTTTTGTTTATTTATTTATTTACGTTCCTCTTTCTTTGCGTATCTTTTACGTCCCTTTTTACGTTCTTCTTTCATTCTTTCTCTCTTTCTTTCGTTCTTTACGTTCTTTCTTGCTTGCTTGCTTTCTTTCTTTTTTTCTTTCTTTACATTCCTCTTTCTTTCCGTTTCTCTTTCTTTCCGTTCTTTTGACGCTCCTCTTTCTTGGCGTACTTCTTTCTTTCTTTCTTTCTTTCTTGCTTTCTTTCTTTCTTTCTTTCTCTCTCTCTCTCTCTCTCTCTCTCTCTCTCTCTCTCTAAAACCAAACAACACCTTTTGAGAGATGCTTATTTCCATTTTGTGAACAGTGTACAATCAAACCTTTAGAGATCTATCATCTCAATCAAACAGGAACGGCCCATTGTTTATCTGCAGCAATGGCAGATCATATCGTACGTGCTAACGAACCAAAGAAAGAAGGAACAAGCAGAATTAAAATACGTGGGTAAGCAACGTATTCTTCTGGTATCCGTAGATCTGCCAAACTATCAGGGAAATTCGGACAAAATTCTTTCCTTTGCCCAAATCCATGGACATCCCGTCTTAATCATTTATTTATACGCTAGCCTTGCCTTCCACCGAATCTATCGGTACAACCTGGCCAAGAGACTGAAGTCGCAATTAGTATTGCGCCACCAATTTCACTCACCAACGCAATAATATTCCTGGCTATTGATTCCATCTAATCAACCTGAAGCTACAACTTTGACTTTCAAACCTAATTTCTTCCCGCTTCTTCTATTACTGATCCTGCATTGCTCTCAATTATTTTTATAATTAAAACATCGTCAGATGTTTTTAATTAATATTTAGAAAGTAGCCACTTAAACTTTCATAATCAGCTAAGAAGATTTCTGAATACTTCCATCAAATAGGGTGATTTTCTAAGCGTAGCTTAGATGTGGCACGTGGCCGAAATAGGGGGTACCCAATGAGGCTCGATCTCACTACTCAGTTGAAAACTGATTTAGCAAGGTAAGATTGATTACCACTACACCAGTTCGAAGTGTACAAATTTCTATCAAGTAAGTACAAGAAACGTCTGTTTTTTTTTTGTCATAAAATTTGTGTGAATTACAAGCAGTTTTATTTTTTAGGAGTGCGAATGTATCCCATAATATTATTGGTATCTCATGGCATCCCATAATGGTATCACATAATGGTATCCCATAAAACTGAATTTTCTGGGTCTTTTTAAAGATTTTGTGACATTCCTTTGAGTTGCAATGGTAAGCAATAATATAGTTTTAAGTAATTAGTTCTGTCAGTAACTTGTAATTTTCCCCAAATTCTGTATATTATGCTTACGGCTGTATAAAATAAATGAGAAAAAATCCAAGATTAGTCAAGTAGCTTTCTGAATACCGCTATCAAACTGCAAGAAGTTTCTGGATTTAGTCATAAAATGTGTGCGAATGACAATCATGTAACTGTAAAGGAAAGACAGTGTGTAATTATTGTGGTAGAAAGATCATAGATTTTTTGTTCATTGTTTAAATTGTGAAATATATATATGAATATATATATAAGGCTAACATGAAACAAAAGAAAACTGTATTATATGGGCATCCTGGTCTCCTTTTCTTACTAATGAGATATTTTATAGTAACACTAATCAAATTAGATTATGAAGAGGCGGGTGCATTCTCTCGAATGTTGAAAGGCGTACACGGGGTAAGCAAGATTGAGAACCACTGCTATATAATATGTATAAATATACATATTATTAATTTGTAATTTTAAATATAAATTGCTATTCTTTTTTAATATAAATTTGTTTAAATAAGAGCAAGTAATCTCCCTTTAATAAAAAATATTTTTTTAAATTAAAATAAAATAAAATATGAATATTTAATAGATTTAGTTAAACCTAGATAGCCAGACAAACCTACCAAGGTTTCACCTAAGCGGATCGTCAGGGAAGGCCGGCATCGGGTTTTTTTTCTTTGGGCCTTGAACTCGGACGATTATTTTCGGTTAACGTACATGTTCTTGGTTCTTTCTTTTTATATACCGTTTTTTCCCTTTGGTATTGGCTTGTTTATTTGCAAATCAATACATCGAAGGTTTTCCGAGCGAGTATAGTTTCTTATACTTATAAGATTTCTATTAATAACATTTAATAGATGTAGATAGATTCGCCTATCACCCGGTTCCCACTCCTCCGTAGTCTTTTTTAACACGAGTAGAGATTTATCCCTTCTTTCCTGTTTAGGTTTGTGTTTCCGTTTCTTTTGAAAGTTTGTTCATTCCCTTTCACTCCAGGTAGCCCCTTGCGTCTTAGTTGCATTATCGCCTTGCTTGGGGTGGAATGATTAATGAAAAATTAAATGGAATGTTTGAAATGCCATTTGCACTGATACTGTGACAGTGCCCCAAAATACTAACAGTGAATAAAGCAAAACTTTTAAAATCATTTCACCCCTAAGAAATGGGAGGGGGCACTGAGAATGAAAGAAACAGAGAGGGCAATAGAACAACAAGAATCAAGTTGATGATTGACATTGTGTTCTAATTTTTGAAGATCGTAGATGACAAGAGTGCAGTAAGATGGAAGAGATTTCCTCAAGCGAGAAGTATCAGAGAAGAAGCTATTAGCATAGAACTTACGGTAACAAATACTTCAACAGTGAAGAATAGCTGCCAATGTAGTACTGCGATTAAAGAAAGTAGTATTTATTTTGAAAATACAAAAATGTGGCACAAGGCCAAGGGGGATAGGGGAACGCTGGTCTTCAATCTGTCTTATCTTAAACTTAGCTAGCCACGATTACTGATCGAAAAATACTACAGTATTCCCTATACCAGAACAACACATTCTTATTTACCATTCTTATTACAGCCACTCTAATACCACAAAGTCTCTATAAAGTCCTAAGTAGTTCTCAGATGTAAAATGTGTCGGGGGGGGGGGAATAAAAATAACAACATTAAAAATGAAACTCCAATAAAGAAAAGCTTATCACAGCAATTACCAGGAACATATTTGTAGAAAATGCAGAGGAAAGCTACATTACGTCTGTGGGGATGTGACTGAAGCCGAGATGCCATCTCAGGACCGATAATATGCCAGATTCTTCTTTGGATTTTGTCAAGAATCTTTAGATAAACTGTAGCGCTTGACCGGGACGACAGTATTTAGAATGGGAAGCAATAAATTTTCATAAAAGATCTCTCTGGAAAGTAACCAAAGATATAATATTTCAACAACAACAACAACAAAATCTACCTAGGGCTGTCCGTCTATCCTCACCCTCCACTTTTTATATTTAATTGTTTTTAGGGTAGATAATGCTTAGTTTCAGGCATAAGGTAGGGAGGAGTGCAAATTGCGATATTAGATGTTGTGTGAGTCATGACCATTCATGACGAGATCTACAGTTGGGTGCCAGCGGTTTGGAGCTAGTGTGGGGAGGGGCAGAAGTTGCCCCGGAGCATGGAGAGAACCTTGGAAAAACAGGAAAGCAATGATGGAGAGGAAATAAGGAAGTTGATCAGGTGGACCAAGGAAAACCTTTTTCTTTCAATCCAACATCCCATTATCCGTCTCTAGTCCTACGAAAGGCAATCTCACCGAACGTTCTATAATGACATCTTTCATCGATGCCCAACTGAAATTTCCATCCGATTCCTTTGATTAACCAATATTATACCAACATTGCGAACAGAAATCTATCTATCTATCTATCTATCTATCTATCTATCTATCTATCTATCTATCTATCTATCTTCATTATCTATCTACTATCACAAACTATTCACTATCTATATATCTATCACAGCCTCTCCTCCCCCCTCTCTCTCTATATATATATATATATATATATATATATATATATATACACACATATATATATATATATATATATATATATATATATATATATATATATATATATATTGAGAATGTGTATCATACTTTTTTTCATGTCTATCTCATTCTGCTCATATCAAACTCTATGTCGGCTATCTACCTATCTATATATCTATCTATCTATCTATCTATATATATATATATATATATATATATATATATATATATATATCACTCTTATCATATCTATCTATTACAGCCAGCTCATTATCTATATATCTATATATCTAACGCAGCTTATTCATTATCTATCAATTACAGCCTCTTCATTATCTATTTCTCTCTCACAGTCTCTCTCTCTCTCTCTCTCTATATATATATATATATATATATGTGTGTGTGTGTGTGTGTGTCTGTCTGTGTGTGTGTGCGCGCGCGTGTGTATTCGTCTTTTTCATATCTATCTCATTCTGCTCATATCAAACTCTATGTCGGCTATCTGTCTATCAATCTATCTATCTATTACAATCTGTTCATTAATTATCTCGTTCTCTCTCTCTCTCTCGCCCTCTCTCTCTATATATATGTGTGCGTGTGTGCCTGTATGTGTATCGGTCTTTTTATCCCTATCTATCTATCTATCTATCTATCTATCTCAGTCTGTTCATATCAAACTCTATATATCTATCTATCTAATGTTCAGCTAGTGTAATGTTTCGCGGCTTGAAATGAAAAATCGTAAGAGCTAAGCTCGAATTCCAGTCGGCTTTGTTACATTGGGAAAGCTATGTATTCTTCTACTTCCCCAGCTAGGGGTTAAATAGTAGAGACCTTGTATCTAGAAAAATCAGTGTTATTCTGAAAAAAATATTAATGAAATATTCTTTCGCAAAATAATTATTTTAACGACCCTAATTATTTTTCCGCTTTAAATAACTCACAGTGTCGTTTATCCGTAAAAAGTCAAATCAATGAATCAATCGACATATCTATCTGTGTATATCGATCTGTTGCTATCTATCTATCTCATTGCATATCAAACTATACTTGTGTTGCCTCCAACTAAATATAATTTATTAAAACTCAACATAAAACTTGTCACAACTTCTAAAAAATAAAAGAATTATAACAAAACAAAATCCTACGGTAAACCTTAAAAGAGGAGTTTACTCTATCATCTGTAATAATTGTCATAAGGAATATGAACCCCAAGTAATATAAGTAAAAATACAAACCTCAAGTAATATAAATAAAAGATTATCTGAACACAAAAGGGATCTTTTACATAACAACACATTCAATACATTAATTGCTCGCCGCAATATCCTGACCATAATTTTATAAACAAAAATAAAAAGGTTGTTAGTTTTACAAAATTTTCAAAATTAAGAGACGCTCATAAATATTGTTAAGGGGTCCACCCCTTTTTCATACACGTGGACTCGC